ATAAACTTTAAGCCATTTTATATGGTCCTGGCTGCTTTTTAAAGCTTCTGTTTATAATTCATTAATTGTATAATTCAGTTTAATAGAAAAATGAAAGTTTAGTAATACTATTTTATTCTCGAGATAAGAACCTTGCTAATTGAAAAATAACTTGTTTATCATTTTACAGAAAAAAAGGCATCGAGGTTGTATTTGATGCAAAAAATATATTTTTAGGTTTGAAACTTTTAAGATTTAAATAAACTAGGTGACAAATTTTCTTTACATTTAAACATTAAGGATAAAATATTAAAAACATGATACACATTTAAAACATGCATTTTTTTAAAGTAATTTTTTTTTCAAATAATTAAGGGGCCTATTCCTATTTAGATCTTATTTATTGCTTGACTCTTCATTCTGCAAAGTCTTATTCGTTTACTATATCTGTCCCTGCATGTTAAAAACTTTTATTAGTCTCATTTTTTCCCTACATTTTAACCCTTCAAAACTCTCTCCCATCTTCATGTTTTCTTGTCTCATACAACCTACAACTTATCAAGCCTTCTGCCAACCATTTCCTTGTTCTATAACTATATTCTTTTTTTCTCTAGTAACTCCAAACTTAATAGTAGTTGCTTGCAGCCTTGTTGAAAGTGAATCAGAACAAAATTTAAAAAAAAATTGGAAAATTGCTTTATTAGAGTATGTACCCCTTTAGCATCTCTAAATATCAAATTAAAAATAATTTAATTTTTTATATCACTATGTAACTGTTTTTTTTTTTAACATCCTCACTTCCAACAAGGTTGAAAGCAACCACTATTAGAGTTGGAAGTTACTGGAAATGAAAAAGTGAAGTTTATAGAGCAAGACAATTATTAACAATGAATCGATCATTTATTTTTGAATTAATGTTTTACATTCAAGGATGTTTACAAATAGTAAATATACTAATATAAAGTAAACACCTACTAATGTTAATAATATCTAATTAAAATAAATATAATGCTAATTTTCACAATATATAGTAACGATAATAAACTTTATAACATAAAATAATGATGTAATATAAATAACGATGTTATAACAATAATAACAAAAACAATAATATAACAATAATAATAACAATAATAACAACAATATCAGTATTAGTATTAATAAAAATGAAAAGTAGTTATCAATAGTAAATATTAGTAAAAATAACAAAATAACAATAATCAATAAAAAATATAGAATAGAAATTGTAATATATATATATATATATATATATATATATATATATATATATATATATATATATATATATATATATATATATATATTTATATATATATATATATATATATATATATATATATATATATAAATATATATATATATATATATATATATATATATATATATATATATATATATATATATATATATATATATATATATATATATTAGGACAACAAAAATTGATTATAGAAATTATAAACATATTTTTTAAATAAAAAGTAGAATAAACTGGTTTTAAAAGTTGAAAATGAATTGAGAGCTTTTAGTTCATAAGGAAGGTTGTTCCAAGTTTTAGTGCTTTGATATTTTATGGATTTATGCCCGTAATTATGAGAGCGGTGTTTAGAGACAGACAGGTTTAAATTACTCTCGGAACGAAGGTGATAACGATTGTTGGCACTTTTGGAAAAAAAATTAATGAAAGGTAGGTTATTGTGTTGGTGGTTCCAGACAAATTGACAGTTGAATATAGTCACATAGTTTTAATACTTTAGAAGTTAGGATTAAATTTAATATTCTGAAAATGAATAATTTTTAAAGCCTTGTTTTGGAGGTGGGATAACCCTAATAAGAACTTGTTGATGGGACTGTCGCCATACTTGGCATGCATATCTAAGATGTGAGCCAAAAATAGCATGGTATATGTTCAAGAGTGTCTCAAAATTAACATAATGGCAAATTTTGGCCAACATACTATTAGATCTACTTAGTATCATTGCTAAGTCTTTACAGTGGGATAAAAGAAAAGATTTGAATTGATTTTTATACCAAGATATTTAATTGAGTTAACAGGTTCAATTTTTTTTGCCACTTAATGTAAAGTTCATGTTTATAGATTTTTGTTTTATTTCATTTAAAGATAATGAGTTCAGTTTTATTAGAGTTTAGAAAAAGTTTGTTGGAGTGAAGCCACTGTACTAGATTGGCAAGATCGTGGTTAATGTGTTTGTTAATTTTTTTAAGGGATTTATTAATTAGTATTAGATTAGTATCATCAGCAAAGTGGTAAAAAGTAGCAAACTTAATGGATGTATGAAAATCATTGTTATAAAGAAAAAGCAGTGGTCCTAATACTGAACCCTGAGGAACACCATTAGAACATTTTACAAGGGTAGATTTTGAGTCATTAATAGAAACAAATTGTGTTCTATTGTTTAAATTTGTAGCGAACCATATAAGTGGTAAGCTTCTGATCCCATAATATTCTAATTTTTTCAACAAAATTGAATAATCTAACGCTTGTCAAACGCTTTATGTAAATCAACAATTTTGGCAACTTTAAAAATATCTGGGAAAAGACCACTTTTAAATGAGTTATTTATAACAGTACCGAGAGGCTTTGAAATAATGTTTGAGACTAGTTTAAGAAGAAATGTAGGTGCGCTATTAGGACCAAGACTTTTTTCTGTTTTAAGCGTGTTTGCAATGAGACCAGATATTTCATTTTCAGTTACTGGGTTAATAAATAATAAATTAGCATTTGGAATGTTAAGAAAGTCACTAAATATGCATCTAGCTTAGTAGTTTGTTGTGTATAGTGCTAAAGTAATTATTAAATATATTTTCGTTTTAATTTAAGTTTTAAAATGTATTGTGTGTAGAAGGTCTCATATTAATGATTTCTTTTATTCCCTTCCAGGTGTTTTTAATATTGTTCAGATTATTATTAAAATAAGTAATAAAGTATGTTTTTTTGCTAAATTTTAATAAAATAAAAATTTTGTTTCTATAAAATTTAAATTTTGCAAATAATTCATTTTTCTTATAAATATTTTTTGGTTTTATAAACTTTGTATAAAGTTTGTTTTTAACTGAAATAGATTTAAGTATTCTATACGTAATCTAAGGTTTTGATTTTAGTCTATTAGTTTATTTGATTTTAACACACAACTTAAAAGATTGCAAATTTTATGAGTCAGGAAAACAAGATGAAGAGAGCAAATTGAATGATGATTTGATGAAGTCACAGTTAAAGGATGAGATTTGATTAAATGACCAGTAACACAAGAATGAAGTAGATAAAAAAGAGACGCTAGCTCTTTAGAACAGTGTCCATTATAGTATTTATAGAAAAGAGAAAGAGATAACATTATGACAATGTAATAATGGCTGGAGTTTGGCTGCAAGAGCAGGTTCAACTATGTTTACAATGCGTTTTTACACCATGTCTAAAAGAAAAAAAGGACATCATTGCCTGAGATATGGCAACAGTTTTCCATACAAAGATGGATTTTGCAATCATTATGATATAGGGTTTCCAGAAAGATTAAAAATAATAGCTAATCCAAGAAGATAAAGGGTAGATGACTCACCAAGTACATTACCGTTTATGAATATAGGAAGATCTAGATGATTGTGATAATGATTAGCTTGTAATTGAACCTTAACTCTGATAAAAATAACTTTTATCAGAGTTAAGGTTCAACAGCCCCTGAGAGCCACATCTAGCAGAAGTGAGATCCTCTCCAGCTTAAATGCCCCTTCTAAGTAATCAGAGAGTGTTGACTTCTTATCAAGACAAGAATACAAAAACTAATTTTTTTTTATACCCTTTACAACTCACATTAAGTGAGTAATCATGTCAAATATCTACAAACTAAGGCAACAGGTATTTGCTCAAGTTTTAAAAATAATAAGTTTTAGCTTATTTCACAGATGTTTTTATAATTTTTTTTTTTTTTTTTAAAGAGTAAAGCTAATAAATTTTAAAAGAATTAACCAAAAAGATAATTTATAGTACCAAGATAATTTAACCCATTCTTGTAAACCAGCATGACAGCTTTATTTTAAAGCTATTTTGCATTTTTGCAATTAAAAAAATTCTTTTCAATTAAAAAATTTAAATTCAGGACATTTTGAGGACATTTTTTGCTACTTACTTGTTACAGTCTTCTTTGTGATGAACTAAAAATAAATGTTCATTTGCCAAATCAAACAAAATCATAAAAATGCAAATATAAACAAAAAATGATGGCAGCAGAAAAAATGTTTGCTTATTGTGCAAAGAAGAAATGTTAACATAAAGCAATTTAAAGAATCAAGATTTAAAGAATCAAGAAGTCTATATCACTATATCTGCTCTGAATTTAGCTGGGAGATAAATTCAGATCAGATATAATCAAAGAAAAGATGTGGCTATATATCTAGATCTATATAAGTTTGTAAAAATACAAATTAGGTGTAAAACTTATGGGCAACCTTGTGGCTGTTGTGATCTCATTGATATAGAATGAAAAGGGAATAACTTAGGTTTGAGTTATATCACCAGGATTTATTTTAAGCTAAATATTGTCATCTTACATTTGCATATTTTAATATGGAAAATATTTTCTTATATTAACAATAAACAAAATTATTCTTACCTTAAAAATTTTTTTTTTCTTTCCTAAACTGTTAGTTAATGATCAATAGAGTAAATTTCAAATCTTGAAAATTACTAAATTAAAACCATTTTGCAACAGTATCCGACAGACTGTTTCTCAACAGTATCCACACTAAAATGAAATAATGTTGGTAAATATAAAGAGATATTCAATAGAAAAAATTTAAAGGTTTTGTTGATTAAAAGAAATTTAACATAAACTTTTGTTTTTTTAGTTCTATATGTCCAATTATTAACTAATCTGTAGCTATAAATTTTTTTTAGCTTGCCTAAAAAAGCCATTTAAAAATGTCTTCTTAATCGGGTCAATGAATCTTCTTTATGTAAAGGAGAGCATGCAATTAAAACATTATCATTAGGTATCTTCACATTTAGAAGAGTATCATGTAGATTTGCATTATAATAAAAAAATTATTTACATAAAAAACTCAACATGCTTCAGTTACTCTGTAACAAACACATAATGTTCAGATAGAATAATGTTTTTAAATATATGTGGCTATGAAAATAACCGTTTTTTTTTGGCAGTTTTTTTTAATTGCTTATTCTATTGCATTGTCTGATATACTTTTTTATTTCGTTTACTCTGACAGATTTTCGTGATTTTGCTGTTTTTTTAGATTTCAATGAAGAATTAGGATTAGTGTATGGTTGAAGTCTAAAATAAAACAAATATTAATTATAAAAACAAAAAATAAATATATTTAAATTTTTAAATATATAATTAAAACACTAGGTTTAAAATTTTTTTGAACAAAAAATATTTTTAGGGGTAGCTCAAGGCCCTCAAAAATTTGACGGGTCCCTAATATTTTGAAAAAAAAACTTTTTCTAAAGTATGTCAACCTGGTACTCAAAATAAGCAAAATTATATAAAAAATTTAAAAATAAAAATAATTTTTTATAAAAATAATTTTTTCAGGTATAAATGCATAAAAACTATTGTTTTTAAGCTGAAAATAAAAAAAGTCAATATTTTCAGGTTTTTTGAGAATAGTTTTTTTTAGGCATGTTTTTTATGTAAAATGATTATTATTTTTGAAGTTTTTATATAATATCGCTTCTTTTGAGTACCAGGTTGACATACTTTAGAAAAAGTTTTTTTTTCAAAATATTAGGGACCCGTCAAATTTTTGAGGGCCTTGAGCTACCCCTAAAAATATTTTTTGTTCAAAAAAATTTTAAACCTAGTGTTTTTGTATTAGATAAAACACATTTAGGGGGTACCAGCAGGTTTTTCTCAAAAAAGTTGTTTTAAGGACCACCCTAATATATATATATATATATATATATATATATATATATATATATATATATATATATATATATATATATATATATATATATTAATTATAAGATATTATTAAAACCTTATTATTATATATAAGTATATTATTACTTATATATATTAACAACATTATAATTATATATAAGTATATTATTACAACCTTAAAAAAACAAAACATATATATATACATATATATATATATATATATAATATATATATATATATATATATATATATATATATATATATATATATATATATATATATATATATATATATATATATATATATATATATATATATATATATATATATATATAATAAAACATTTTATTCTGTATTATAGATATATAATGCTAACTTTGGCATATATTTATTCAGCGCAATTTAGTTCATAAAAACCATTAAAAATTTTATGAACTCTAAGTATTTCTAGAAACATTAAATAAATTAAAAACAAATGACGAAATGAGAATGATATTCATTTTTAATATTTTTAGTTATGATAAAGTTAATCTTGCATTTAAAGAAACTATTTTCATATTTAAGCCAAGTAATTTTATGTTAATCAAAAAAACATGTCACGAAATCATTGCTTTTACATTGCAAATATTTGTGTAATGCAAAATGATTTTTTTTCAAAACTAGGTCACTACAAACTATAGTTTACCTGTTATTCCAAAGTCCTTGGTTACACTATAGACAACAAATCTTGTTGTAGTTGCTAACTCATATTTTTTCACACAGTTTAATGCTTCTTCATGCGAATTACAATGATAAATTAATTTTTTTTTTCCTTCTATAAAAATTAAAATCAAATTGATCAGTATACTTTCAGTGAATATGAAAATAGACTATAAAAACTATTTTGAATATTTCTTACAACAAAAAAAAAGGCACACTAAATGATATCACAAACCTTTGTATAAAGTTTTGTGATATCATTAGAAAAAAGTTTAATAAATGCGAACTTTAAATAAAGAACTTTAAATAAAAAATAAGTAAAGAACTTTTTAGGCATAAAAAAAAGCCTATATTAAAGTACTAGACCTAGCACTTAATGCACTGTCAATTTAACTGTTAACTGCTACAAAAACTTAGTTTATCTTACAAAAAACTAACTAATTTTAAACTTTAGATAATAATTTTAAATCACAAACAATTGCAAAAAAAAAATTCTATATGACGACAATTTTTTTGTTTTGATTGTTCTTGTGTTGTCCATTTAAATAACATATATATGCTACTGACACCATTTTTTCTTTTTTTTTCCTATAGAAGAAATAAGAAAAAAACTGGCAGTTTTTGTACGGTAACAGTGACTAAAAACATACCATAAACAATATCACGTGTAGGTAAACAATTATTTTCAATGATACTCAAACTTTGTTCATAGACTTCTAAATTAAAAAATATGTCAATAACTATATAATTATTTATTGCATTTATTTTGTTTATAACATTGTTATAAACAAAAAAAAATGTAATAGGTTTTGCATTTATTAAACTTAAAATGTTTATATATTAAGTTACCTTTTATATTTCCGCTTTCTTCATCAGAGCTTATTTCATCAGAACTGCTGAAATTCAAATTTTCGCCATACATAGATAAATCCATAATCTTTGTTTTTGTTTGCTTTAATAATAATCCTTAGTATTTAATATTACGCTTCCTCGTGCAATTATTTGCTGTTTTGCATTAACTCGAACAAATAAAAAAATTAACGGCCACCGAAAACATCGACCTACTTTGGAGTTATGTTAACGTCTGCTAACCCTAAATATGCATATCTATTGTGGCGTTCTTAAATACCTTGAGAAACTTTGTATATTTGTTAAAGTTCAAAACCATATATATATATATATATATATATATATATATATATATATATATATATATATATATATATATATATATATATATATATATATATATATATATATATATATATATATATATATATATATATATATATATATATATATATATATATATATATATATATATATATATATATATATATATATATATATTATATATATATATATATATATATATGTATATATATATATATATATATATATATATATATATATATATTATATATATATATATATATATATATATATATATATATATATATATATATATATATATATATATATATATATATATATATATATATATATATATATATATATATATATATATATATATATGGATGGATCTTATTATTTAAAAATTCAAGATATATATATATATATATATATATATATATATCTTGAATTTTTAAATAATAAGATCCATCACTTCAAGTTTGGTATATAATACCTATAAAAATTGCACCCTTATCGCATATGTGAAGGGAACGAGTTGATTAAAAATTCTTTAGTATTCGAAAGTTACGTGTAAAGTTACGTGTTTTTAACATGAGCCTCTTTATCATCTCTTTTATTTGAAAATAAAGCACATTGCTTTCAAAATAATAACGTACAGCCTTGCTATTCAATAGAGTAATATGCCCAATAAACATCCAATTATCCACTTGAACATATTTTGCGATATACTTGAATTAAACTTCTTCGTGTTAATTATATTTTCTTCAATAGTCTCTATGTTCATTGAAGACTTAAAACCATTTCCAATATATATATATAAAAAAGAAACTCTCATCCATTATTTTATAGTCTTTCCTACCATCATTTTATATATAGTGTTGTTCAATTTTACCATATATTTTATATAAATACCATCATTTTATTTATAGTGTTGTTCAATTATTTGAAAGTTATTGTGTGTTTTCTGTTGATGATTACTAGCCGCTATAAAAGATGATGGTATATTATCATAAATTAACTGTGATGGTTTGTATGCGTGTGTCTTTAAAGACTTGCTCATGTTTTACATTAACACGTAAAACAGGCAAAAGAAAAAAAATTATGTTTTTTTTTTGCGCCTCACTGTCTTTATATAAAAAATAAGATGTCAATTTCACACGTTCTTTTACAAAAGACCTTTAGTTTTAAATAACGTATTAAAAATACGTTTTTTTTAAGCGTTTCTTTTTCGATTAGCGCGAAAATAAATAATTTATAGAAATAAAAAAAAATTAAATAATTAATAAATAATAGTTTGAATAAGTAAATACAAAAACTAAAAAATGTAATAAAAACATGAATAAAAACAAAACGGTTATATCATATACAATTGATAAGATTTTTTTTGATGTAAAAAAAAGTAAACATTCTTTTGTTTGTTGCTATTTTTAAAGTTCTATTGGTTAACAAATTAAAAAAATTATTATTATTATTATTAATAATAATAACAATAATAGCAATAATAATAATAGCAATAATAATAATTATAATAATAATAAAAAGAACTTTTTTTGTAAAATTATTGATATAAAAGAGAAAAACATAAAAAACCAGTACAAACCAAAAAAAATTAAACAAAAATAAACCAAAGAAAAAGGTATTTAAAACCATCAGACACCCTACTCACCTTTGCCTCTCCTCTAGATAAGAGCAGTTATAACGGTTATATAATCTAAAGTTTTTGATAAAATAAATTAATTTATTTTCTGTAAACTTAATTATTTTGTATAAATCAAACATTCGTTTAAGAAAATAAACAACCCAGGTTTGGAAGTTGTTTGTTATTCCGAGCAAATGATCAATTAAATAAGCATTAAAAATTTGATCCCTAGTACTATTTACATTACTAATAATTATGTATTAATAATAATTAGGGAATAAGTAGTACAACATTTTAAGCTATTAATATCTATTGATTACGTTTTAGCCTGACAAACTTTATTTATACTATAGAGGAGACCGGGGAGACTTCGGACACGGGAGAGAATGGACACTTCGAATTCTCCTACCCTGGTAACATTAGAACATTGTTGTCTATAGTCAATATGTTGGTAGACATACGCTCTTAGCTTTAAAATATTTAGATAAAAGTTTCCAGCTAAAAAACAGATTTTAAAGTGAAAAAACGTTTTTTTAAATCTTTGATGTAAAATTTTCAATTCCAAGTGAATCATTCAAATCCTAGTTGAAAAATCTGCCAGAGTTAATTTTTTTTTAGAACAAACCTGAGGACGTTGGGAATGTTAGTATTTGTAATCTATATATGAGTTTGTGACAATTTCTTTGAATTTTTCAATATACCCCTTATAGGGAGACTTCAGACATTTCGGACATTGTTTAAAGTCTTTTCCAATGCTTTAATAAAATAAAAATAACAATTCCCTATAAACAATTATTAAAGTTGTGTAAATTTTTATTTGCACAATTGTAAGGGTAGATCGATAATAGCCATAGACATACCGGAAGAAGAGGCACTTGCAGCTGCAAAAAAAAAAAAAAAAAAAAGCAAAAATGACGAAGAAACTTACAAAAAAGACAACCAAGAAAAAGATTCTAAAGAGAAAAACCTCTAAAAAAGCAATCCTTCGAGAATTGTTGTCAGATGAATTAATAGACCTACTAATTTCAACGATTGAGAGTACATATAACCTTAATGACAATGCATTCAATGATAGCAATGCTTATACTTTTGATGTTTCGGAAGGAAGGTTTATAATTGTAATGGTATTTGGATGTGGAAAACAATCAAGTCGTAACTATACAGCAAAAGCTGTTAAAAAAGTGATGAATATCAACTGCAATAATTTATAAATGAAAAATAAACTATCATTGTTGAAGTTGCGTATTTATGTTTTTGATGTCCGTAATCTTCCGATACATGTCCGATATACATGTCTTACACTTGATACACTTGACTAACATTTTTAAAATAGTTTTTTAAAATTGAAAATATAAACGGAATATAAAAAAAGTTAAAATGTTAAAAGATACCTTAATCATTGTAGTTTGACAAAAAATATGTTACTTTGAAAAAATGATATAGTTATTAAATAAGTCCAATTAGAGAAAAACTGTCCAAAGTTACCCGGTGTCCTCTACAAGTACTACACTGTCATAAATCTGGTACACGTTTTTTTTTTAGAAAAACTAGAAAGTTTCTTATTTTAAGGATTCTAATTTTCCAATCTAGAACTAAAAGTTTCTTTACAGTTTCTCAACGTTATTATTACGTATTTCATTCGCAATAGATTGCGCGTGCAAAATAATTACTTATTTAAAATGTTGTTCTCTGTTGTAGATAATGCTTTCTAATCACATCAACATAAAACTTCGTTTTATGTTGATGTGATATGTAGGTGAACAATGAGAAAGTATCCTTCGAACTCTAAAAATAAAATAAATAAAATAAGTTTCTCATTGAATAATAATTTAATACTAAAAGTTTCTTAAGATTTTGGTGCTTCTAGTACTAGTTTCTTATAAACAATTTATAAAAAATATAAAAAAAAACGTGCTCTGCTGGGTTTATCATGGCACTGCTATTGATATTTAAAAATTTATCAAAACTTATAAAAATAGAGCAGCCGTGGATTAATGACTTCAAAACCGAGAGGTTCGAGGTTTGATGAATTTAGACATATATGCGACATCGCGATTTCGCATATATTCTAAATTCATACATCAAACCTCGAGTTTCTCGGTTTTCGATGCATCGTAAGGAATGCAGCTTCAAGTTACTAATTAAATCTAAAGTTCAAAATCTAAATTAAAAAGTAAATCGCAATTCTAGGGTATTACTTTACGCCATTGGTTACCACATTAACTTACTTTCTCAATATATAACCCAAAAAATGAATTCTTATTATAGAAAAAAATTCGAATTATAGAAAAAAAATAATAATTGTAAGTTTCATTAAATAACTATTAACCGCAGTATAAAAAGACATAAACTGTATAGGTTTTTTTTTTTTACTTATGCGTTTTTTTAATGAATATTACCAAAAAAAATACATTACTTCTGATCACATGAACGAATTATAGTTAATATAATTATATTAACTATAATTCGTTCATGTGATCAGAAGTAATGTATTTTTTTTGGTAATATTAAAAAAACGCATAAGCTATTATATAATAGCTTTAGTACTATATTAACACTCGTACAAATACGAGGAGAAATCAGTTGTATTTTTTGTCTACCATTTTTATATTGTGATATAAACAAAACCGTGGGTTCACCTACAAAGCAATTTTATAATTAAACTACTATGAGGTTAGATGAATTTTCGTTTACCCATTTATTCAAAACATCTGCTCTGTATTAAGAACTTTTTATTATCCCAAATAGTTATTTATATTTAAAATTTAAAAATATAACTATCCTTCGCATAAATGATGAATGAATTCATTTTTATCTTTACTTTAATCCTGTATTGAAATTACACATTATATATTATCCAGTTACATCACCAAATATTTGTGATTTCTTTGTACTGGTGATAATTTGTTCGTCTGTTAGCTAAAATTGTCACCAATGGTACAAATTTGTTAAATATTATCTTTCTGTTAGTTCTACTAAGTAATGCATGTTTTTATACTAAAAGACGTTTTGAAAAAGAAATATGATAATGAGCCAGCTAAGCACTGGCAATGACTATTACCCAGCTTCTCCTCCTCCCATTGACCTCTCGCATTTAACAGAAGCAGAAAAACGAAAAATAAAAAATGTTTTAGATCGTCAAAAAGAACTTGAAAATGAAACAGCATTTATTCAAAGGTAATTTTAATTTTTTTTCAATTTATTGAAAATACTTATTTCCTGATATGTCTATTATATTTTTGCAATAGTGTAATGATATTCAAGATCTATAGGATGATTCACTATGTTTTATACATAATGCTCATATCTATAGATATTAAAAGCTAAAAGAATTATTAGCTTCCTAACTACTTCCTCCAAAGTAATCAATATTTTAGTTTGTTCCATTTTCTTTTTAAAAAATAAACAATATATTATGTTTTTTGCTGATTAACAATTTTGAAATCAAGTTTTACTCTTTTTTATTTTTATTGTTAAAATAATCGAATTTTTATTTTAATAAAAAATGACTGAAATTTTGTACATACATCTTGTAAATTTACTTTTCTAAAGTTCAAGGTATATTATTACAATAGTTATAATATTTAAAAACAGAAGCATATTTTTCAAATTTTGTTTTTTACATTTTACATTTTTCAACTTCTACAATATTAGGAAATAATCATTTGATAGTAAGCAATTAGTAGTGTATTTTTTGGTATAAGCCAAAGTTTGTAACTAATTCGATTTTTGGAAATATTTTTTATATCGCTACTTTTATGCTTATATCAGTTATAGTTAAAACTATTAGTTTATAAATGCATGTCTGACTTATTAAAAAGAAAACAAGGAGAGCTCGAGGTAACCAACTAAAAGACAGATGGGTAAAAATTGATAAATGGTATTTTATTTAATTATCGCAGAAAAATTTATACCTTGTTTAAGTTAAAATCTGTCATTTAATACATGTAAGGTAGAGAGAATTTTAATGAAAATGATAATTGCATTAGTTAATGAATGTTTATTTGTTTATTTCTATGTGTTATTTATGTAAATAACCATTTTTTGAAAATTATTTAATAAGACTATTTTTTAATACTATTTTACAAAATAGTAAATGTTAATTACCTCCTAGGTCCCTTGGTCTACTTTTTGTTCTCTTCGACCTTCTCTGTAATAAGTTGTTATAAGTCTAAAAAACATTCAGAGGTTAAATGTCTGATTGACAATATATGGCTAATTTAAATAATTTGTGTTGCCCAAAATATATTTGATTTTATAATATATGTTTGTTTTTAAAGTTATATATGATGTGTATAATATTTATATCAATAAGTGTTAATCATAATATTATCATATTTATAAGAAGTGTCAAAGTTTTTCAATTTTTAAAGGACTTTAAGTTGGTTTGGCATGTTGACACTTTATACAGAAACAAATTTTAAATTATTTAAACATACTAAAAGTTGTTATTTGTTTCAATATTAATTAAAAAACTATTTTATTAATTTATTTCCATTAGTTCTTTAGTTTAAAGAAAAATTTACCTTGTATTTCATTGAATCATTTTAGTTGTAAAATGTTTATTTATAATTTGTCTTGTTTGTATTAATAAATGCATGTTTTTTTTTCCAGAGTCATTTTTTTTGTCAGTTTTTTTCTAAAACTGATGTTATCATGTGAGTTATTTATAACTTCATATAACTATTTCTATATTCTTCCTATATACTATATTATATATATATATATATATATATATATATATATATATATATATATATATATATATATATATATATATATATATATTGCATATATATTATATATATATTATATAGTTTCATTTATATATTATATATATATATATATATATATTTATATATTATATAGTTTCAATATTAAACAAATATTGAACAAAAATTCAAATAGTAATATAAAAAAAAAAAAAGTTAATGCAGCACAAATATTCAAAAGATATTGGATCAGAAACCCATTCTGTAGAACCGGTTGTTAAATTTTTAAACAGTTAATTGAACCTGTTATCAGTTAAAATTTCACTCAACTTTCAAAGTCAATTAAAATTTTAGATAAATTATTAGGTGCATAAAGTTAAATATAATTTTGGTATTATTTTTATTATGTATTTTTTAAATTAAATTTTAATTTAAGCTAATTTTGTGAACTTAATAGGAAATTTTAAGGTTAATAAATAGTATATTAGATTTTTATTTGACTATTTTTATTAAAAAAACTTTTTTTTTTAGTGGTATTGTAAGAGAGCTTGCAACCTATCAAGTTCGCTATGAGCTAAAAAGTAATCAAGCACCTTTGTCAGATGCAAATATGTGTGAGCTATGCCACAAGAATAAAGAATTTTGTGTTAATAATTATAAAAGATACTGCAAGTTTTGCAGATCAAAATTGTGTGACGAGTGCAGTATTCAATCAGGTTCCGGAAAAATGGTAAAAAGCAATTTTGGTATTTGTCATTCAACAAAATAATTTATTTTTGAGCTAAAAGAAAAGTTTATAGAGTTGAGAGAGGGTTGTAACCACAACTAAAGTAGCCTCCTTGACTGTAGTGGTCTTCATGACCTAAGGGAGGTGAATTGAAATAAAAAAATATATATACTTGCACATCAATTCGCATATAATAGTATCATTTTTTTTTTCATTCTTTTCTTTGAACTTAAAAATATATGAATATTTTAATTAAATAATTTTTTTTTTTTGAATAACATTTCCTGTAAATTTAGTTCGTTGGCAATAATTACCTAATTCCTAGTAGTATTGCACTCTACTTTTCGTGCCTCCACACACTCCAATGGCCTTGTTTATCAAGGTTTGTGATTTGTAGTTAAAGAGTCGAAAGAGGGTTGTAATAACATATTAAAAAAATAAATAATAAGTAGCCTCCTGGCTATAGTTGTCCTCTCAGATTTGGGTGAATAAATAAAAATGAGGCATAATCACATATGCAGTTATAAAAGATTAGTATGTTAAGTTATGGGCAAAAAGATTATTATGTTAAGTTATGGGCAAAAAAAAATGAAAGTACACATTTAATATGCTGTTTTTTTTGATTTTTTTGCATTTATTTGAGACACCATTGCTCACAATATTAGAGAATTATTTTATGCACTACACTTTCCTTATAGCTTCTTTCAGATCCGTCTGCAAAGATGTAGTTCTTTTTAAAAACATCTACTTTTAATTTTCACCTAACTGTTTTTGATGGAGTTTAATTTTGGTGAAGTACAATTAGAAAATAAAGTTAACAGCATTTGCTTTCATGCATTTGCGAGTCATGTCGTGATCATTTTTACCAGATAGTAAATTGCCTTTTCTTGCATGTAAATATCACAGTTTTCAGGTCCGAACCAATTGATCACATTGTTTTTACTTTGCCATAAAAAGAGTAAGCCAACATGATTGTTGGCAATGATTGCACTGATTATAATTGATTGACATTTTTTACAGAAGGTGAAACTTATTTGCAAACCATAAATATATTGACAGGTGAACATTAAATTAGTGTAATAAAAACTGCTAATTTCTGACTGTCCAATTTCTTTGTTCTTAGAAAAGTTTTAGGCAATCATAAATGTATTTTTGAGATGTGGCTTGCGGCATGCTATGAACAAAGATACTTTTATCTTTATTTGTAGCCTTAATAAGCCTTTGTAACCCTTAGCAACAGCATCTTGAAACTGTCAAAAAAAATTAGGAGTCAGTTGAATAAAAACTTGCTAGCTTGAAATGAGTCCTTTTCACTTAAACTGTGAGTTTTGATGTCAGATTTTATTGTTGAATTTCCACAGGATTTTTATAAATTGATACTATTTTATGGCTTGATAACAGAATCATCATCATTATCATCATCATCATCATCATCATCATCATCATCATCATCATCATCATCATCATCATCATCATCAAAATATTTTAGATATCTCCAAACATGCAGCAATTGCTCATTTAGACTTGTCTTTCAATAGTAGTTGTTCTTGAGCATACTTGGCATGATATTTTAGCCATACTCCTAAAAATTGTGAATAAAGAATATGATATTAGTTAATAATTTTGCAATCAATAGCTTTTTAGTTAACACTTGTATTATTTCTAAGGGTTGTTTCTAAGGGTCTAAGGCAAAGTTCTCAAATCTTAATCTGAATTTATATAACGAATGGCCAAAATTATTATTTTTAACAAAAATTATTCAACTTTGAATTTTACAATTGAAACCAACCAGAAATAAAGCTATTTGTGAAAACATTTCTGGTTGACAATAGCTATTGAAATTGATTCAAACTCAGAAAAAAGTTTAAGGTTTTTATGTTTTTGTTTAAGCTGTTAATATATTTTCATAGGATAATATAAAACTTTATCATTTTTGAGCTTCACAAACAACAAGGGCTTTAACAAAAACATTCTGACAGGCTTGGCACAAAAATGGTGTTCTTATATGCTGAAATTTAATATTAAAATTATTTACTTGAAATCTGTACCATACTGCTCAACCTTCCTTACAGTTGCATTGAATACTCTGAACAGGATTTGAATCTAGGTGAAAAGCTGGCAAACATCTTGGCAATTTTTAAGAAAATTATCAAATTATCAAATTTCTGAAAGAAATTCATTAGTGCATGCATAAGACAACCACCATGACTTTATGGATCTAAAATATTATCTTTTATTTTGCAAGGTCAAAAAAAACAATCAAAACTTAAAATTAGCAAACAAAGTTTTAAATAATAGAAAATTAAGTATCTTCATGCTCTTAATAATTTTGGAAAGAATAAGAACATAGAACAACATTAGTGACAAAGTCAGGTTTGGCAAAATAGCAAAGCTTCCTTTGTCATCTTTTCAACTGCTTGAGATATTCTTTTGAATAAAAGAAACCAATGTTTGCCAGAACTCAAAGAATAATTTGTTTTGCAAGGAATTTATTTCAATTATTAACTTCCAATCTTAAAATATTCATATTATTTTTAATGTTACTAATTGTAAAAAAATATACAAAATAGTTGTTTCATGTTATTTTAGCATTAATTTGGTGACAATAAAAAGATTTAGGGGTTTTCAACATTCTTTTTCAAGTTTTTACCCATTTCAATTTTAATTTCAATCAAATTTTGTTTGTTTTGGTTACAGTTTTACTTAACCATCACATAGATACTTTTGATTTATTCTTTTGGTTACAGTTTTACTGCACCATCACATAGATACTTTTGATTTATTCTTTTGGTTACAGTTTTACTGCACCATCACATAGATACTTTTGATTTATAAATGTGGAGTTATAAAAAAAATTATTTTTATTTTTCAATTTTGTAGAAGCTTTTATCACTTTTTCTGTTAAAATTTTATTTAACTGATGTTTTGACATGTTACTGCTTCAATAACATTAATGTTTGGGAAGATGTCTGTCACTAGAATATGCTAGTGACAGACATCTTCCCAAACTAGTCTCTTTAAATATACAATTTTTTTAAAAATTAAATTCACCTTCTAAGGTCTCAGAGGGCACTACAATCATGGAGGCTTGGCTTGCTCCCTAAAGTTCTAAGGGCCTCTACAATCAAGGAGGCTACTCATTTTTTTTTTAATTTATTTACTTGCAACTCTGAATTCTAAACTCCAAAACATCAATTTTTAGACTTCTAGTAATGACTTCTAGTAAATAATTTCTACTTACTTCTTACTTACTTCTAGTAATATTAATTTTGTATAGGGGCTTCAAATATCTTTGAACAAAAATCAAAACTCATTTGAACTCATAATTAATAACAGTAATAACTGTTTGACAGATAGATGTATTTGATGAATGTGTTTGTATAACGGGTGATAACTAAAAAATGAAAATTTTCATATCAGGCTATAATAAAAACAAATGATCAGAAAATGAAAATTATATTTATTTAATTGAAGGTACATAACTTATCTTAATAAAAAAGAAAAAATTAATGAACATTTGAATATGGTCCATCATCAGCTGTTCAACATGATGTTTTGTCATGATGTTGGAACAGGAGCATTGTACAGCATTTATATTAATTTGACAAATGCATGTTTTGATTCGGGTAATCAATTGTTTGCAAATCTTAGCTCTCCAGTTGTTTTTGTATACTAACGAACTCAAATATCCAAAGAAATCTTTAATTGGGAGACACTGAGGCAAGTTTGTCAAATTGTGGTTTTTTGGTACACATGGGATGTTTTGGTTTTCCAAGAAGACTTGCGTTTTTTTGGCATAATGCGATGATGCTTTATCCGGCCAAATCAAGTAATTACCATCTGAATGATATTTTTGAAGAAATGGAATCAATATTTTCTTCAAACATTAATTTTGGTATATTTCTTGATTAATAGCCAAACCACTTGGCTTAAACAATGGCTTGGAAATTCCTCTCTCAGATATGGCAATGTACAGCATCACTTTCTGCTCAAACTTGTGTTTATATTTGTATTTTACTTTTGTAGGTGTTGTAGAACTTTTATTTGCATATGTATATCTGCATCAATCATTTCCTAACACTTGTGCTTTGGAGAGGGAGAAGTAACTTTCATCATCCAAAACAAAACATTTTCCAGAGTAATTTTGGGTCATCCAGTGGCATTGAGATTTCACAGTTGATATTTGTTGCTCAGTGTATTCCGATGCTCTTGTTTTTTTTTCGGCAAATTATTCCGTGTTTTTTAAGGAATATAAGGCTGCGTACACTTGAACTTTTCTGCAGCATCTCATTGACTTATTGAATCATTGATGTTGAAAGCACCATAAAGCAAATGAAGTTTCTTCTTGTTAATTATTTTACCTGGTCTTCCACTACCACTTTTACGATTGGTTGTTAAGGATGTCAAAATACGGTAAATAGTAGAAACTGGAAAATTTTCAGTTTTAAAATGATTCACAGTAAACTTTTTTCCATTATTTTTGTGCGTTTGATAGAACTTTACAATGTGCCTCTTTTGCGTCATCTTGTTTTGATGGCATTTTAAACACAACTGAATTAGCTGATGCAAAACAAAACATATGATAAGTTTGTAAACAGAGAGTATAGTTTCACATAGGAGTACTTTTCTTTTTTTGACTTTTGCGGTTTGATTTCAGAGGGTTAAAATTATTCTCATTTTTTAGTTATCACCCGTTATATACTTTCTTCAAGTCAATAGATCTAAAACATATGATTTTTTGTAAAAGATCACTTTCATCTTTTTAAAATTATTAATTCTAATTTGTTGTTTTATTTTAACTTCATATTTAATATAACAAAGATCCAATGCTTTAGTTGCAAACTCCAAATAAGGTCTAGAGTAGTAAAGTAAATTGGATGGATGATGAGCTTGTTTTAATAAATAATGAGCTTTTTTTAATAGATGATGAGCTTTTTAATTTTGCTATCAGTTAACTATCAATTAGAGAATTGTTACTAATAGTCTAATCAGTTGTGTTAAAATCGCAAATAGTAATAAATTACTTACATTTTTTAATAATTAATCATTTAGAAGCATTATTACATTCCATTGTGTTGCAAACCTGAGCTTTTTTTTGTTACAATCAAGAGTCACATTATGAAATAAAAAAATTGTAAATAAAATATATTTTTACAAGTGGAAGTTATGTTTTTAAATAAATCTTCCATTCTTTGAAGATTTAAGAAATCTGAAACTTTAAAGAATGGAATCTCAAGAACCAATAAGAGTTTAGAACTGAAGTTAAAACAGCTAAATAAAAATAGAAATTACTACATTATGAACATTAAAATAGGTGCCAAGGGTTATCCGATACTTTCAAGTATAAAAGAAAGTATAAAATAATAGAATGATACCTTAGTATCTAGAAACCTTAAGTCAAGTTAATGTTTGTACAAAAACTATAAAAACTAATAAATTTATGAAAATTTTTGAAGTTTTATTAAAGAAATAGAAAACTTAGTGAAAAACAGTGTATTTGAAAGTTTTAGTATTGTTTTTTAAATACATTCCTATCATTCCAAAGCCTATTTCAAACATGTTTATATTTTGCAGGTAACATGGTCATGTTTAATTTGCAAGAAGAAACAAGATCTTCTATTGAAAACTGGTCGTTGGTTTCATGGGAAAGAACACAAGTTTCCAAATCCAGCTGCCGAAATAGAGCAATTGCTTACTGTGCCTACTCAACAGAAAAAACCATTAAGCCCTAAAATAATAAAAACTGGTTATCCAGCAAGTTCTGTAACAAAAGCACAATTAGCAGACAAAAATTGTACAAAAGTTTTAGACCAAACAAACAATGAATCTACAGAATTATCAAACACAAAAAAAGTTACATTTGGCAATAAAAGCAAATCCAATATGCTAGAAGAACAGCAAATAAAAGAAATGTTTCAGGTTTTTATTTTTATATTTCATGTAAAAAAAAGTTTTATATTAAAAATTAAAAAAATTAATTTAAGAAATTAAATTTTTTAATTAATAAAAAAAAAAATACTCCATCCAAAACTAAATATAATTTATAATATTTTATGATTTATAATAGTGAATTATAAGTTATTTTATTTAAACTGATTTTACTAGATTAGTAGATTTAGAACAGCAAAGTGTAAAAAAAAAATTTTTAAGCATGCTAACCGCAGCAGTTTGCATTTTTTAACTTTTAAAGTGTTTCAATAATTCATGGCAAAAAGCTAAACTTATCTACTGAGAAAAAAGAAGCCAATTCTAAAAATATATATTTTTAGAATTAATTCTGTAATTAAAAATATATATTTTTAGCTACAGAATTTGATACAAGTTGAGGAAAAAAGCATATTATAATTTATAATAACAATTTTAAAATTTTATATCAACAATTGTATGTTTTGATATACAATTTATTGTTGATTTTTGAGTAATCAATATTTTTTCTTACGCTCATTGGTTTTCGCATCTTTTAGCTTTTAAAAATGTTTTTGTTATATTTTTACATTTTTTCTCAATATTTATATTATAGGAAAAACAGAAAGTAAATTGCTATCAATTTGGAAAATATATCATTTGATTAATAAATTTTGTAAAGGCGGAAAAAAGTTAATAAAAGAATACCATGGTTTCTTTTTATGAATGTATTTGCAATATTTTTTTTTGTCTGAAATTGTTTCCTTTATAAATGCCCAATTTTCAATGTTAATACGAAATAATAGAGATAATGAACATGATTGATCTGTTTGAAAAAATGTATTTAAAAACCTAAAAAAATGTTTTAAATTGTCTCTTAAAACTCTGTTAAAAAAGTTGAGTAAATTAACAATGCATTAGCCCACAAGCTTTTAGAGTGTCACTAATAAATTGTATATCAAAAAACACTTTTGTTTTTGTTATATTCTTATTTTTTTAAAAATAAGGATAACAGATGCTGCTTTCCAGCAGGCTGGAAAACAAGACTCTGATAAGCACTTGTTGAATAGTTTTGAAAGGATAGACGACAGCTCAGGAGAACACTTTTACAAGACTATAACAGGTATGTTGTCCGGGCCACAAGATATAGAAGAGTCTAAGCAGGAAATTACTTTAGATACTGAAGCTGGAGTGATACGGATGTCAAGCAATGAATCGACCTGTTTGACGGCTAAATTAGATAGAATGCAACTAGTGGAATCAAGAGATGATATTGATGAAAAGTTCTTAGCAAACAATTCAGCTTTGTCTTTAGGTGAGGTGACAAAGTCTGAACCATACAAGAGAGATGGAATTACAGATTTGCCCTTATTATTGATACTATTAAAGATTCTCCAGAAGTCACGAGAGCCTAATTTTTGTGATGAAATACAAGATTTCATGATCTGAGTATAGTGGGCTTTGGTGTTAGACAAAACTTTTTTACAATGGTTTCTAGAAGTAATAAACAGACGTCTGTTTTCTGGAGAATTGTTTTGCTGATAGATATGGAAATAACGGTTTTGATTTTGAGGAAAACCATGTAGAAGAGTGAGGCTTGCCCTGAAATCGTCGAGAGGGAATAAAGGATTCCATGTCAGTCTGAACCCACGAAGTTATGTAAGAAGCACATTTGTCAACAGAAAGACGAAAGATTTCTACCCAAGGGCCATCACAAAGAAAATCACGGAAAGAGTCCCAGTCAGCTTTAAGGTATTTGTAAGATGTACAATGATAGGGGGATTCTGATGGTAAAGAAGAATGAAATAATAGTTTTAGAGAGACCAAACCATGATCAGAAGCACCTAAGGGTGAGTGTGGAGAAACTGAGCACTGACTAGGATTAGAAACAAGACATAAGTCGAGTAGAGAAGGTAAATGATTCGGGTTGTATGGAAAGCGAGTTGGAAAGTTGACTATTTGAGTTAGGGATTGAGAAAGGCAAAAGTTGTGGGCCTTAATGCCTGCGGAGTCACTAACACTAGAGCCAAACCATTCAGTGTGATGAACATTGATGTCACCGACAACAACAATATTGGCTGATGGGTAAAGAATGAGGGCTTGGTCAATATAATCAGAAACAACATCAAGAGTGCAATCTTGAGATGAAAGAGAGTGATATAGAACAAAGAGAAAGGTGATAGAGTGAAGTGGTGCTAAACAAAAGCACATAAAAGAGCAGTCTGTGGATTTAAACCTAGTTTCCCAACAAATGGGTGAATTCTTACGAACTAGCAGTAAGCAACCCGTAATACGGGTTGTTAGTAAATAAATTATTAATAATACGGGTTATTAGTATCATTAATATCAATTTATTATTTTCTCTAATGAAATATAAATTTATTTTATATTTTTAGTTCTGCTCACTTTTATTGTTCTTGGCTTTTTAACATAACTTTTAGCTTCATTTAAAGATACTATTAACCGTTTATTTCGAAATGTTCAAACATTTTGCGTTAATCACAACTAACTAAATATATTATGACTTAAACTATATGCATAGAAAATTATCTATGCCTTATTTTAAAATTGCAGAAAATTGTTAAGGTAACTAAGTTGTTTATAATTCTTTTTTACAAAAAGAATTTTTCTAAATTTTTATAAAAGTGATGAGAGCTTAAAAAACAAATATCACAAAAATTATACCTAAATTTATACGTATAAAAATTGTTTTGGATATCCGGAAAGACTAAAATTTAAAAAATATCAGAAATTACGGAAAAAACTAATCACTGTATACAGCTTCCATAATATAAATGCTTATTACTTTAGCTTTCAAAATACGGTAAGCGAATATATCTATTTAGTTAATCTATATCAACATATATTTATTTCAGCATTCATCCCATCCAAATTTATACTAACGCAGTGAATATTTAGCAAAAGTCGGTAGTATATTTCGCCTTGAGTTTGTCTTTTATTATATTTTATTATATTTTGTATAGGTCAGATGAAATAAAAACAATTGCTTTTAATCAACATTTTTGAAGTAATTATTACGCCTTAAGCGAATACAAATTTTTAACTTAGCTGAATTAACTTAGGTGACTTACTTAACTTATGTGAATGCAAACTTTTAACCTACCTACCCAACATTTTATGATTTTTTTTTATTTAGTGTCTCCTTTCTTATATAATTGACCCACAGCCCTTCCATCCCATAATCGCCATTTGCAGACCCCCTCTACCCGTCAGAGTATTTTATGGACAATCCCTAATGAGCTAAAAAGGTTATAAAACAGATCTTAAAATCATATAAAACAGTTGTAAAAAAATATATATATATATATATATATATATATATATATATATATATATATATATATATATATATATATATATATATATATATATATATATATATATATTTAAACTTGTGTTCACTTGAAAAATCTGTAAAAAAGCAAGTCATACGTTTACATATCTTCAAAACAAATTTATTTACATGATATATAGTTAAATATGTAACAAAAATATTTAAAAAAACCTATATAAAACACATTTTTCTTGAAAAACAGTTAGCGTTAAAGGCACTTTTCAAAATCTGTTATAACAGCTGTCATCTACAGGATTGAAGAGCCAAGCATAGCCTATTGTACAGAAAACCATATTAAAATAATTAAAAATATTTATTTCTTATAGGGACGACGATTAATAATATTAAAAAAATTATGTGATTCCATATTAGTAGGAAGTATATATTTTAGTAAAGTAAAAAAAAAAAAACATTATTATAATTAACCCATTATTATAATTAATGTTGTTAACATGTTCATGTAAGGCATCATACTGCTCACTTCTCAGTTTATTTTGATTATTTCTGATAAAAGCAAGATGCTGGCCTTCAACTTTGACATATGCATCTACAGCGTTTTGCTGAAATAGTTTCTTGCCATAAAATAATGAACAGAAAAATTGCCTAACAGAAAGTCTATAATTGTAGAACTGAGATAATGTTACATGATTTCTAACCAGTGTGGCACGCTCAGGGTTATGCACTGATTATGCCAACCAGCATCACCTCTTGGGAAAAAGAGAGGATAAATCATAGGATCTAAGTTGGCTGACATACTTGATACAATTTTTAAAGGCTGACCTCTTGGGTAAATAACAACTTCCCTGGAAGTTGGGGGAGCACCATATTCGCCAATAAATACAACTGCAACATCATCGTGTGAAGGTAGATTATAGTGATGTCTATCACCCCCTTCAAATAAAGACATTTTTACAACTGAAGCTGAGCGACCTTCTATAGCTCCTTGACGAATTTCTTCATCTTCTACTTCAGCCATGTTTTTAAATGCAAGACCAAATGGACTTTGTTCAGTAATTATAGTTTGCAATTAAAACATTAAATCTCGTAAACAAAGATCATTACCACGTTGTTGCATTCTAAAATTTGCAAGTGGATCATATATATATATAGTTGAGAACATATTGGTGGAATATCTTGATCTGGCCTACGATTTCCCACACAATGATAAATCTGGCCACATATTTTAAAACATGGAGGCCCATGATTTATTGGTTGAACTATTTGCTTTAAAAGAAGCGAAAGAAAGACATGCATTATAGTTTCGAATATGTTTAAAAAAATTACCATTAGCATTACGATCTACATAACTCCCTGTAAATAAATCCTGTAAAGCTTGTGTAAATGGTGAAAGTGGAGGTAAAGCTACCTTACCATTATGGTAACATAGAAAATGTGTTTCATCTGGAAATTTCTTAGCATCACAGTGCTGACAAATTTGATTCATTTTTCCTAAATAATTACAATTTGGAATAGCATTACCTCTTGCTATAGAATACATTCTTCCTGGTCTAGCAGCATTTCTAGCATTTTGGCGAAGAATTTCACCCATTTCAATGTCATTGCTTTCATTAAACATATTTATTGAAAAGAAGACAAATTGATTCAAATTCTTATTCCTTTTTGTACTACTCTAAATTGCACAATAGAATAAAATAATTTA